AAAAAAAAAAAAAAAAAAAAAAAAACAAATTCATGGATGTATTACAATCACAAAGGGGTTTAATATACCTCTTAAGACTTGGAATTCGTTAGTCAACTAATTACATCAAAAAAGAATCAATACTCTTAACAAACATAGTTTTTCATCTACCATTTACAACTAAAACTTCTGCAGAATTAGCATGAGGCAAATACAGTATAATCCCCAACTCACACAAGCAGAAGAGAACCAATTGTAAAATGTAAAACCGAGCAAAACCCGTCGATTGGTGCAACATCTGAAGGTCGGGTTTGGATCAAATTCAAAGCCCTAAATCCACAGCTAAATACTGACCCCAAAAACTGAGTATCTTGAAAACGGACCTGAATATGACAAGCGTTCCTTCCTTAATCGCTGGAACAGGTCCTTTGCCTTGTGTTCTGGACAACAACTGCTCGAGCGAAGATCAAAATCAGGCTGGAAAAGATGAAAATGAAAGATTATGGAATAAACAGAAGGAGATTACGCCGAGAGAGAGGATCAAAATTCGAGCTCCAGGAGAACAGCGACCTGAGAGAGTCAATTCGTCTAAGAAGTTTGCGCCGTTTTCTCCCCCTCCATTTGGTACGTTGATGTCCGAAATGGCGTTTTCTGATAATCATGGCCAATATTCGCCGATATATAGAACTAATTTTGTATTTATTTATTTTCCCTTCAAGGAAAAAAAAAAAAAGTGTAAAATTTTAGATGATGATTGAAATTTAATTTTTTTTTTTTCATAATAAGTTTTTTCTTTTTAAAATATTATTCATTTATTCTTTTAGAAATTTATTATGTCTCAATTAATTAAATAATTTAAATCTAACACCGTAATGGATAAATAAATTTAAAAAAAAAATCCCAATTTGGTCAAGTATACTTCAAATTTGAATAAATAGTAAAATTATTACCTTTAATTAGTTTTTTATTTGAAGAAAATTGTTTCTATTTGTAATGAATTATCAAAATTATCCACGAAGATATTAATATAAGAGATTAATGCATTTGAGTTATATTCGAGTAGTATAAATTAAATTTCTATTAATTTGTTAAAATAACGTTTAAATATGTCACGAACACGCATTCGAACCTAATAGACTACAAAACATGCCTAATAAATCATTAATCATATGACATAATAAAATAATTGAGACCATTTATGAAAAATTGTTGATAAATGAGTTAATAATTATTCATATTTAACATAAATATATTAGAAGGCATTTTGAACCATTGGTTGAACACTAAAATCTAATTTCTAAATTTGCTACCAAACACAAACACAAACATAACTTTTAGTATTTAAATTGTCAACCAATCACGTCTTAAACAAGTCGAACATGGCTCAACTGATACAAAACATATAGTAGTCACAATCAAAACATCAAATCAAAGATTCGAATCTTCCCCACAAAAACGCCATAAAATAAAAGGGCATATTTCTAAAACCTTGAAAACGGGAAACTCGACGTCTGGGCTTTCTATTGTAGAAGTGTAATATTACTACAGACTGCAGCTGCTGGAACAAAGCATACGTAAACGAATCGTAATATCAGGAAACTAAACCTAAATGGCATTTAATCCAAATATTTTTGCTACAAGGCTTTTCACTAGATGAACAAGAGAGAATTAGAGAGAGACCAACGATACGTAGATGAGTTCTTATGGCTTGCGAGGTGGAGAACTACTGCTACTGCTCCTGCTGCTACTTCTACCTCTCAATGGCCTACTACACAGCAAAAACAATCGCATTAAAATAACGACAAGAATACAAGATTAAAAGCTGTTCTTATGACCTCTAGAACAGTAAAAAGTGCTTTTAGCGAACTAGAAATACTTTATTTTATAACTTTGCAGTGTTTGGCTACATAACCAAGATCACAGAACTCTAAAGGCACTTGAAAAGCATATTAAAGTGCTTACTTTTAGAAGCACTTAATTAGTGCTAAGAAGTTGGTACTTTTTCTTTTTCAAATGTCATCCTAAACCCACTATAAAATGGGCACCGTACCCTGGTCATCTTGTTTATCAAGAAGCTCAGTGGTTAGCGGGTTTGGAAAAATATTCATAGTTGGTAAAAGAAGAAACAGCAAAAAGTCCAAGAACCAAGCCCTAATATTCTCAACATCCAGATAGGAATATCAACGCGTCAACCAATAATTTATTTAATTCACAAGTTTACCTTCTTGGACTGCGAGATACTCTCCTGGCTACCTGTAACATTAACAAGGAATAGTGAAGTGACTTTGGATGCAAGGAAAAGTAAGCAACAAGCCCAGAGAAGAGAATAAAAGGCAAGATTAACCACTACGAACCTTCCGTGGACTTGGCGATGCAGAGTAAGATGATGATCTCCCACGTCTACCAGCAGCTCCCGGCCGACCTCTGTACCATAAGAAAACAAAGTATAAATATATGCTTACAGTGGACAAAAAAACTAGTTAAGGGTAGTAGCTCTGTGGAATATTATACAGTTAGGGAAAGTAAACAATCATAGAAAGGGTAAAGTAGCAGATGATATGATACTAAACCAGCCACCTAACCTTATAATACAAATGGTATGCAACTAATTTGGAGATATTTCTGATAATTATTTACACAATGTCTTGGGTAGTAAATAGGAAACTGAGATCGTTAAAGCTTAGTTTCTAAGCATCATTATAGTTTATACATAAGTAATGGTATGCTTAAGTTGTTAAATTCAGTACTTGTAACTAGCCTTAAAAAATCTAAATCCCACGATCACAACACCAAACAGCAAATTATTTAGGTCTAGGCCTTGTTCGACAATTGGAAAAAAGATGATGCATCTGCACATGTATGCTTCTTTTGAAAGACAATTGGCTTGCTTTAGCCAAGAGCATCTGAGACGTTATGCCCTTTACAAATACTAAAGCACGCACTGTGAATGCTCAACTTTAGATTAGCTATCCTACAATAGCTGGCTTCCATTGTCTAGATCGGAAGGATCCCTTGGGGCCCAAACGCAATACTCTAAAACATGGAATAATCAGGCATTTGACTTCCAATCTTTATTCAAACATCTTATGAGGCCTAGTTTCTGTCGCCAATATAATTCTTTGGTTCAGTACTAGCAAGGCTCTATGATGGACAAATAGAACTAGGAGAACCTTCAAATGAATCAATGCAATATGTCACCGCACAATTGTTTCCTAGCTAAGTTGAGACAGCTCAGAAAGTTTATTGTGATTATCTTCCTTTCTTGATCAACGCCAATGGTAGTAACTTCTGTGATCTACTTCGTATTTTGATTTATGGCCCCCCAAACACAGGGTAGACACAATCAAACAATATAAAATAATTTTTCTTCAAAAGGCAATTATGAATAGAAAGCTCATTAGGCATCCAGATACCTCCGTGGTGAAAATGACCGGGAACGTGATCGACCTGGTCTTCTAATGGGTGAACGGCTCCGTCTACGAACTACTGGAGACCTTCTGGGAGGACTACGAGCCCGTCGAGGAGGTGTACTGGAAAAGAAACACAATTTAATTATGTAACACTCATTTACCAAAGTATAAATGTAACTGAAACCACTTAATCAGACTCAACATATTCAAGTATAATCCATGCTCAACCGAAATTAAAAGATCACTGTCATGCTTAAATATGTTAATTTCTCAAACATTAGAAGTAATCATGCCCTCATTCACCGTTCTTCTAATACCTAAGATTCAACTGTAGGAACACCTCTGAACCATAATGGAAACAAGTAAATTTTTAAATAGTTACATCAAAAGTTACACTCTACTAGTTATTACTTCATTCTAAGTCAACCATAGCATTACTTTGAATTTGCTTGGATCACCCAAAAACCACAGTTTACCTGTATCTAGGCATAACAAAGTCATCAATGGCCAACAAGAACCGCACAACTAAATTAAACTTGATGCAACTTTTAGTATTCTTCAAAATAACTACAGTGACTAAAAATCTTCAAAGAAAACCATACTCTAAAAACAATAATTCAAGATTTAAAAAATAATGTTTACATATGCTTTTTTTGCATAATTTAATACTCTACAAATAAATGCTCCAACTCGAAAATAATAAGATACAATTTAACAAGTGCAGCAAGACATTAATAGTCAACGTTGTCACTATATGATATATTTGTGATGTTAGCAACAATATGCATATCCATGTATCATTCAAATTGCAAGAGAACAGATTTACGATCTTCTAAAACAGTCAATGCGTAATACCGGCGCCTAGGAGGAGGTGGTGAACGTCTCCGAACAGGGCTGCCACGAATTCTTCTTGGAGAGGGCCTAATCACCAAAGTTAAACAATGTTGATACTCTCACCATTAAAAGAAAGAGATAAATTTGGTGTGTGTGTGTGTGTGTGTACCCGGTGGGGTGGGGGTNGGGGGGGGGGGGGGGGGGGGGGGGGGGGGGGGGGGGGGGGGGGGGGGGGGGGGGGGGGGGGGGGGGGGGGGGGGGGGGGGGGGGGGGGGGGGGGGGGGGGGGGGGGGGGGGGGGGGGGGGGGGGGGGGGGGGGGGGGGGGGGGGGGATGATACTCAACCTTGGGGGAGATCTATGTCGCCTTCCCAAAGGTGATGGGGAACGGCCACCTCTCATTGGTGATGCAGGCCTCCTTCTAGGAGGAGAGTCAACACGGCGACGGGGAGGAGAATCCGGACGGCGGCGTGGAGAATCAGGGTGTCTTCTGGGAGACCCACCTCGTCGAGCAACAGGCGAGCGTCTTCTAGGTGAGGGAGGCTTTCGACGAGGTGAAGCTGATGTAACAAACCAGAAACAAGTCACTAAAATAATATACTCCCATGAAAAATAAAATAAAGTAGAATAATAGGGGGGNGGGGGGGGGGGGGGGGGGGGGGGGACATTAGACATTGAAAAAATATATAATTAATGAGTTATACGTTCTCTCTGTCTTTTTATATCGTCCTTCTCAGCATCAGCACCAACATTTTCAGGCTTAGGACCATCTCTCTTAGAAGCAGCTGCTGCAGTCCTTGGAGGTGATGCCATTTTCTGTCTTTGAGGCAATGTAAATCTTGCTCGAATAACATTCCCATCAATTTGGGCCTACAGTTAGCCAATCATCACAATCATTTCCCAGTGATGGCATTATCAATAGATGCACTTCAAGTACTTGAACATTTAAGCAAAACATACACCATCCATATACACTTGGGCTTTTTCAGCATCAGATCTCGTTTTGAATTCAACATATCCATATCCTTTAGGAAGGTTGACCTGTAAGCATTTAAACAGATGTATCATTATATTATTCAAGAAAAACTTGTTAAATACAACATGGTACAAACTCACTGTGCGATCCATTGCCAGCTCAACATTGACTACTTCACCAAAATTACCTAGAAGGTATCGGAAAAAAGAAATTCATCAGAGCTACAAAAGTAGTTAAAATAATAATAATAATAAAAGGTAACAGATTACCTATCCAATCCATTAATCATGAAACCTAACCATAAAGATATTTTGGAGAAAAATTAATATTTGAAAGTGACCTTTTTGATTGAATGAGACTAACAAATTTACAACTAGTCATGCAACATATTCATGAGAAAAGGAGAGGAAAGGAAGGACTGCGCATACAGTTACTTAACAAAACAGATATGATGGAGAGTAATCGATATGACAAATTACTCAATTGTTAAGGACAAGACAACATGGTCAATGATCATTCCAACAAACTATGTTGAATTGAAGCTACTACATAAAGAAATATGTTCAAGAATATACCAAGTTTAATTTTTAAGGCAAAATAATACATTCATCAAGTCAAAGTGTAACCTTAAGATGATGTACTGAAGCTTGAAATAAAGTTGTTTTTGTTTAAATCTTTGATTTTTTTAAGAGATCAAACTACCATGGAGAAAAATGAAAGAATAAACAAGGGCATACAAAAAAAACAAACCCAACAAAACAGTCCCACAAAACTACAAAAAGACCTAGTGACTGATTCTCACGAGAAGGCATTGAACTTCACCACCTCCCAAACCTCATCACAAGACAGCTCCCCATCTATACTCTTTGCTACTAGTAACGTTTAACAAAGAATGATATGAAAACAAAAGTGCATTAATCCATCAGGATAATTGTTAGAAGCTAAAGAAGGCGAGTGAAAAAACATACTGAAGATTTCTCTTAAATGACCCTCATGGACATTCCTACTCAGTGCATCAATGTGAAGAACAAGTGACTCGCGTACAGGTGATGGTTTCCTGAAAGCAATAGAAACAGTTTGAAAAACAAAATAGATATATAGATGACTGACAGACGAGGAAAATATCACCAAAAGAAAACAATGGATGTAAATCGTTGATTTACAAATGCGTGACTAAAGGAAATATTTATATAAACAAAATACATGACTAGGGGAAATATTAACATAAACAAAAAGCATATGACAATTTCGAAATGGTCAATTACATAAAAAATTGTAAGTCATTGTAGATAACTAAAGATAAAATTTACAATTGCAAGATAAATAATGGCAATAGAATATTATTTATCGTATTCAACTTCAACAAGGGAAGAATGACTAAAAGTTGAAAATAATGCAATAGCTACACAACAGTTCTGAAGAAGTGCTGAATTCAAATAATTGCTAAAGAAGTACTGAATTCAAATAATTACAGCATTGTATTTCCTAAGATTTATTTCTGTACCAAAAGGCCGGCGCATCAAAAACCACGCCAAAGCAAAAATGTTCGACTTATCGGAAAATGCATGCCATGAACAAATAATGAAGTTGGATTTGACTGTAGATGGAGATGTTATTGCCTGGGTGGTGGAGAACTTCGTTTAGCTGGTGGAGGTGAAGCGCGAGTCCTCCGAGCTGTTTCAGTAGAACTGGAAAAAAAAATGAAAATATGATTTCGACGTATAATGCTAATGGTTTTACAAATCATAAAATTCCTAATTCTGATACTTTCTCTCACACTAACAAACAATAAGCACCAAATGCAGGAGCCAAAAATGAAAAATGCAAGTTCAATCGAAAGACGAACCTCTTTCTCTGAGGAGGGGGACTTCGGCTCCGAGAACTAGCACTGCGGGAGGGAGACGAAGACGAGGAAATGGACCTGGAATGGGACACAGATACAGACCGTGACCTGGAGCGTGAGCGGGAACTGGAGCGGGAATCAGAGCCGGAGTATGAGCGGGAACGTGAAGAGGATCCCGATCTCGACGGAGGCGAGCGACGGCCTCTGCTTGGTTTCGCCATGGCCAGCAAGAGCTGCAAGAATTGGAACCCTAGCTTAAACCCGTCTGGTATCGTTCGAGATTAGAGATAGTGAAAGGAGAAGCAACACAAAAAAATGGTCGACACGTAAATGATGAAAACATGAGAGAGAGAAAACAAAATACTTTTTGTTTCTCTTTTATATATATATCTAAAGTTTAATGATATTTTTTTTTTAAAAAAAAATACTAATTATCAAAAATATATATATATATATTTTTTTTTCATATTATCAAAACCTTTGAAAAGTTTTTAATAAAATTAAAAATTTAGAGATATTTTTATTAATTTGGTCTTAAAAAATAATTAAATTACGATAGGTCTCCTTAATAACCACTCATTTTTTAAAAAATTATTTTCTTAATATAAACCTTTGAATTCATAATTAAATATCAAATACAAAAATACATTTTTTTATTTTTTAAAATGTCATTTTTATATAAAAATGCCAATGATTTATAAGCTTAATTTAAAAAAATATATATATATTTTTTTTTTTTTAAATGTCGTTTTTATATTAAAAATGCCAATGATTTATAGGCTTAATTTTAAAAAAATTGAAAATTAAAAATGAAAAGTCTCATTTGTGAACACAAAAGTCTACACTTTCGACCATTTCTCCTATGTGGAGTCACTGGTAGCACCTCAAAAAGCACGCGTAAGACACATGTAGAGAAACTTGTACATATGATTCGTGCCGAGGATCCTGATACACTATACTAATATGTGTAGGTCACTGTAATTTGAATGAGATTGTCATGGTGCAAAAGCAGGTATGGCCAGTGGTCTGGTATTCCGTTGTTCCCTATTTTAATTATATTCTTTATTTCTCGTATAGTTTAAACAAATCAAGCAATGTTTGGTATCTTAAAAGCAGAAGCTGAATCAGTTGCAGGCTATAATATAGAATATGCGCGGGACGCGATCCAATAGTCCACTATTGACAAAAGGCAATATCTCAAGATCCCGATGACTTATTATGAAACAAAGACGAACAAAGACTGCTTCCAACTCTTAAGCTCAAAAGATACAGTTAATTCAGTTTGAGCATCAGTTAAATACTTTCTTTCCAGAGTTCATGTAAATTTACATTGAAACATGAAGAAAAAGAGACCAGAAAAGTTAAACATACAGCCATAACAGTGCAGAAAAATGTGCATTTGTTCGAAGATCTTACGAGCACGATCTATTTCAGCTCTTCCATGGAAACAGAAGCATCCGAACGTCGTCTCTTAGCTTCGTGATCACCCAAGTGCAAGGAAACGGAAATGTCTTCGCAGTCGCTCCGGAGTGAAGACAGGTTCTGGGAAACAGCTCGACCCAGAGTGCTGTTTGAAAGGGAGGGAGAGCAACTAAAAAGGCTTGGAATGAACTGATGTTCGACGCTGGGAGCTGTGCTCGTCCCAGCTTCGAGATGAAACTCGGTCTCCAGGAGTGGTCGGTCTTTAGCTGAAGAAGGTTCTACTTCTGTTGGCATATGCTGGATTTGAAAACCCAATGGCTCAAACTTCTCTTCACTTTTATCCTTTGGCAGCGTTGTGTCGGGAGGAGAGGAGTCTCCGACAATCGACCCGATAACTGTTGCCGAGACGGTTCTTTGTTCTTGCACTGCTGCTGCTTATAGCAATATAGAAACAGAACAAAAACATTCATCAAAACACATCTATCATTATGTGATCTACAATGGAGCTTTATCAAATGCGCGGTGTGTGCGAGCGAAACGAGTTAACCTACACAAGAGAAAGACAACTAACCTTTAAACCCGTCATCAGTTGTGATTAGATCAAGTTCAAGCAGATTGAGAAGGCGCCCGAGATCGACCCCACTTGTCCAATTCTCAGGAGGTTGGCCTACTTTTAACTTAAGACGACCTCGGTTAGCAGTTCCACCCCATATAATCCCAATTGGTTGCAAACTCTCTCGATTCTCGCCCTTTAAAATGATGAGACTTCCGCTATCTCCTTCGAGATCAAAAGTCTGTTGATTCTCACCAACGACGAGAAAATCGGTTAAGAAGCATATTCCTTTCTCGTCATTGTACTCGAGAGCATAGGCCAAAACAGTTCCGGTAGTCAAGCCCGAACTTCTTCCGACTTTCACGACCTGCTTCCCTATGAGGGTACTGATAGGTGACTGCAAGTCGATAAACTTCACATCACCGACCTCTCCCACACCTTTTACAGATGTAGTGACGGTCGACATGTCGAAATCATCAGCAAAAGGAATAAACGCCCCATCTGCCCTGACGAACGTTTCTGCAATTTAACAAAACTAGAATAAGTGCATCGGGTTACCACACGTTTAGATTGATGAAATGAAACAACAAAGTGAAGTGTAGTAAGCAAATTGTAACAACCCAAAGAGCACATTGGTTGGGGCGGAAAACAAAACATTCTTTATAAGGGTGTGGAAACCTTGAGGGAAAGCCTATAGAGAACAATATCTGCTAGGGATGGATTTGGGTCAAATGGTATTAGAGCCAGACACCGGGCGATGTGCCAGCGAAGAGGCCAAGCCCTGAAGAAGGATGGACACGAGACGGTGTGTCAGCAAGGACGCTGGACCCTGAAGGGAGGTATTTTATTTTGGCAACACAAGGATCATTACCTGGATTTATTCCAGCAAAAATTCCATACCAAAGCTCATCTGTGATGAACGAAGTAGCTCTCTCCACAGCACCGAGATACACCCCCGGCCCAAGCGTCGGTGGCAGAGGATGAAACATCTTCTGATTCGGATAATCCAAATCAACTGCAACGTGACGGTTCGTGAGAAAACCAACCTGTCGACTGCCCGTTTGACTCCTTACGATAGCACCCAAGGTCCCATAAGTCTCCTGGCTAGCCACCTGATGAGCAAGTAGATTCAATTTTACTGATACAATTATAACTTTTTTGGTCAGAAACCATGCCTCAGATGGCAAGGTCCCCTAAAATCTCCATTTCACCAAAAAGGAAGTGAAAATGAACAAATGCTACCAACTTTTGAACTATTGACATTGCCATTGGAGCTAAACATTTAGGTCCAATGAACAAAAGTTGCTATCAGTTCAAACGGTTGCTATGTATCACGGTAATGCTTGTCCAAGGCGTGTTGCCTATGGCCGCATGGCGGGTGTCCCGGTCTTGCTTGTCCAGGACATGTTGTCCATGGTTGCAAGCTCGTTCCAAACCCATTTTATATGCTTTTATCCTAGATAGGCCCATTGCACATTGGGTCAATACGGAGGTGTATGACTGTTCACCAAAACCATGTCTACACCCGTCAGGACTAAAATGCCCACTATAGGAGGATATGACTAGTTGTCAATTCTTACTACCTTGAGTTATATGCTATTTAAACAGTGATATTTCTTTATTTGCTTATAGTCATATAACGTTGATTTCTTCAATTCTTCAAATCCTTTTCAAATGTATTTCCTCGCTCATGTTTTCTAAACTTTTTCTTGCAACGTGACTCGAGGCCCGAACATATGCTAACGTTGTCCACGACGTCCGAGTTTCTCACGGCTAACTTGTTCGCTTGGTTAGAACAAGTGCCGCACAATCGCTATTCCACTATTGCAAGAGTGCGATTGTGACACTATGTATGTTTAGAGACACACTTCGGACTTAGGACACATATCTCAATTTCGAGTATAGAAAACGACTTCTCTCACATGAATTCCCCATTACCGCTCATTCATTAAGAGGTCTTTTTCATTCAAGAACTTTATATTTCATATAAATGCAAGTTTTCAGGTCACTAGTTGCAAAGAAACATGAATGTACCTGAGAACCAGAGCCAATGCATAGATCGGAGCCACGCAGGTCATCGACAATTTCGGTGTATAGCTGTTCTTTAGGAGCAGGGTTGGGTGCACCAAAATACGAGAATTCTACAACATCGACATCGCACCACACACCTCCCGGCCCCTGAAACAAAAAAAGGAATTCAGAATGAAACTTAGAACAGCTACTTCGCAACCAAAGCAAAACGACTTCTTCAAACCTCCAACGCGGTGGGCAGGCATTGGATAGGACTAAGCCATTGCTTATGAACTTTCCTGGAAACAAAAACAAGAATAGCAGGAATGTCGGTCAGCACGCCCTTTTGGATACGGAATCCAATCGCCGTTCCGAGACTGTAACAACGTAGGATCTTGCTATGGAAGGCTCGTATTGTCATGAGCTCGAGTAACGTGGTGGCTCGCTGCCCTTTTGGTAATGGATGAAGGATATCTGGTAGAACCCCTTTTTGAAGATTTGCGAAGTAGTTTGCCCTCTCCTCGGCTGCAACGCTTAATCGAATGGGGGTCGGCCATGAAAAGTAAGCTGCATTGCTCTCACAATGCTGTCCAGCTGATGCAAATGGCTGAAGTGTAGGTGGACTGAAGGAAGGTAAATTAGAGTGACCATAGCAATTCCTTTCAAGATCCAGAGCTGATTCCTCGGATGGTGTCGAACCAGAGCAGTTAATCCTGCTGTTGTGTCTTGTCTGCTCCATTATGCGGTTCACCTATGATGCAATTAGCAAAAGTTTAAAATAAAAGAACCAAATTCTGAACAGGAAGATAGCCCTTACAACAACCATTAAGTGGATAAAACTAATGAACGAGGATCCATAACATGTCAAATCCGTAGACCGTATTGTCCAGAATCAAAATTGTAATGGTCCAAGTCCACCGCTAGCAGATATTGTCCACTTTGGCCCATTTTGTATTACCGTCAGCCTCATAATTTTAAAACGCGTTTGTTCGAGAGAGGTTTTCACACCCTTATAAAGAATGTTTCATTCACGGTTTTAAAACGCGTCTACTAAGAAGAAGTTTCCACACCCTTATAAATAATGCTTCATTCACAGTTTTAAAACGCATTTGCTAGGGAGAGTTTTCCACATCCTTTTAAAAAAATGTTTTGTTCCCCTCTCCAACCGATGTGAGATCTCACAATCCACCCTCCTTCGAGGCCCAGCATCCTTGCTAGCACACCACCTAGTATCCACCCCCTTCGGAGTTCCAGCCTCCTCGTTGGCACATTGCTCGGTATCTGTCTATGATACCATTTGCAATAGCTCAAACACACCACTAACAAATATTATCCGCTTTGGCTCGTTACATATCACCATCAGCCTCACGGTTTAAAACGCATCTTCTAGGGAGAGGTTTCCACACCCTTATAAAGAATATTTTGTTCCCCTCTCCAACCGATATAGGATCTCACAATCCACCCTCCTTCGAGACCCAACGTCCTTGTTAACACACCACCTAGTGTCCACCCCCTTCGGAGTTCCAGCTTCCTCGTTGGCACATTGCTTGGTATCTATCTATGATTCCATTTGCAATAGCTCAAACACACCACTAGCAAATATTATCCACTTTAGCCCGTTACGTATCACCATCCGCCTCACGGTTTAAAACGCATCTTCTAGGGAGAGATTTCCACACCCTTATAAAGAATATTTCATTCCCCTCTCCAACCAATGTAGGATCTCACAATCCACCTTCCTTCGAGTCCACGATTCTCGCTAGCACACGACCTAGTGTCCATTCCCCTTCAGGGTTCAGCCTCCTCAATGGCACATCGCCCAGTGTCTAGCTCTAATACTATTTGTAACAACTCAAACCCACCGCTAGCAGATATAGTCCATTTCAGCCCATTACGTATCACCATCAACCTCACGATTTCAAAACGAGGTTTCCACACCCTTATAAATAATGCTTTGTTCCCCTCTCCAACCGACCTGGAATCTCACAATAACACAAGTACATACCTACTAAACTACCAATAGACTCAAAAGTTTAGGCTGATATGCAATGATATATAAAATCTTTTACAATACAGCCACTCAATGATTGAGCAAGCACAACACAAAATGAGAAGATCACAATTTCTATTAAGCAGAAAGCATAACAGAACTAGATATCACAAACCCAACAATCAGAGCATCAAAAACAAACAAATCAACCAAAAACGAAGTAAAAACGGCAATCAAAGAGGAAAAGGGAGCTGAAACTCACAGGAAGCAATGGGGAATCCGATGAAGATGGCGCCAAGAGCTCAATTAAAGTGAAACAGTGAAAAAGGTGAGCTAACCCATTGAAGGTTCGAGGCAAAATTAGGGGATGGGTTAACCCAGAGACAGAAATATAGAGAGAACAGTGATGCAGCTGAGGTCAGGTGGTGCAGAGGAAAGGCAACGACAAGGCCTCTGCTCTGCAAATAAACATAGAAAAAGGTAAAGTTAAGAGAGTGAGTGGGGCTATTTTTAATTCGCTAAATAAACAAAGGTAAGCCATTGTGGGGAGACGTGTCCACACTGCTTGCCTTCTTCCACTAATTCTGTTTATATTTTGTGCTCAAATCTCAAGCCTTTCCTTTTTTTCTCTTCTCTTGTGAATATTAGTTTTAAATATATTTTTAAAATTAAATTATACTTTAAATTTTATAATTTTAAAAAATATGTGAATCAAAATCAACGTCTCCAATTGACGTGGGATCGCCACTAAATCCACCCCTCTTTGGGGGCCAGCGTGCTCGTTAACACTCTTTATTTCCTTCAATCGATGTGAGACTGCCACCAAATTCATCTCCATTCGAGGCCAGCGTCCTTATTGGCACATTGTCTCGTGCTACCCCCTTCAGGGAAGAGCGAGAAAGCTGACACATCATTCGGTGTCTAGCTCTGATACTATTATAACGTCTCATGTCACCGCTAACAGATATTATCCTCTTTGGGTTTTTTCTTTTGAGCCTCCTCTCAAGACTTTAAAACACATTTGTTTTCCTCCCCGACCAATGTGACATTACAATTGAAAACAAAATAGAAGTGTTCGGAACCAAAATGAACGCTTTTAAAGAACACAAGTTAAAATAAACGGTTTAAGAAATAACTGAAATGAACGTTTCGAAAAATTATCATTTTAGTTCCTGATTTTTCAAATATTTTATTGTAAATCGGATTGTATATTTATTATAAACAAAATAATTATTGTTTTTTTTTTTTTTTATAAATAGAACTAAAATTGAAAGAAGAAGGAATCGACGAGCTAAATATGATGCTATCTTGTCGTCGGCGAACCCGACGCACAGCCACAACCACTCACCAGCAAGCGACTCAAGAACGAAAGGCGCTATAGCAAGCTCCCTCGTAGCGACAGAATCCCGATCTTCAACCTCCACGGCGGCGGCATGATTCCAACAGCGAAAATCTATGGTGGCGCAAGCTTCTTTTTGCAGCGGCGGTTCATTTCGTGGTAGATCTGAATTCGAACATTTTCAAACCCTAAACGGCAATGATGAAGCCTTCAAACACATTCAGACACGAATCCACGAAGGCTGAAGCCATTTGGTAAGAATCAGTGGTCACGATTCCCTCTGAATTATTTTCGGATTCGATATAAGTGTTCTAAATTGGCTATAGATAGTTTCGGACCGATCGATTAGGTTTTAGAGGCACGCTAGGCATTGGAAAAGAGTTAGCAGCATTGTTCATCATGAATCTTAGGAGCGCTTTCAGATTGAGATGAACTACGGCTTGAATCTCTCTTAATTTTGATGAAATTTGTGAAGCGTGAAATTAATTTTGAACTCAAAATTTGATTCGTGTTGGTATTTATGAGTTGCTTTAAAAAATTCTTTGCAAATCGTTGATCTTCAATCAAGGAATTTATGCTTATTTTACAAGTCGAATTTGAATATTTTCTTTAAACTGTTTTTTTCCTTAATAAATTTCATAGATTATAATATTGAAATTTAAATTGATTTGGTATAGCATATATAAAATATTATTAGATTTATTATAATGTTTTATATTTTTAATAAAAATTATATTTAAAATTGAGAATTATCAGTAAGATTCTTTAAAATATAATTTTTAAAAAATGTAAAACATCCTAATAAATTTAATAATTTTTTATATATAATATATTCGGGTGATACGAGAACTCAATCCTTATTCGTGTAGTCATCAATCTCTATATTCATTTAGACTACAAACACGAGTCTTTTTAAAGCTCTACCACAAAGTTTAGGGTTCACGTATGCAAAATCTTCCACGTGAATTTAATTACGACAAGTTTGATAATAATTCTTAATCTCTAAAAATGAAATAAAAAGAAAATCATAATAAATAAGAAAGTGTACGGAGTCTTAATGGGCCTTAATGGGCCTGGGCCCATCATTTGTCCACCCATTACCAGACCATGCGAGGATAGTGGTGTAGGCACACCAAGAAACGCATAGTGAACACTTGGGCTATGCAATAATGAAATATTTGAACCCATCAATCAAGTTTGCATGGTGGGTAGGAGTGGGTAGGGGTGTACATTCAACCCGACAACTCGGATCAACTCAACGTGAACTATAAGGGTTGAGTTGAGTTAGATTAACATTTCGGGTAGGGTTGAGTTCATTTTTCTGAACATGAACTTAATCTATTCGGTTTTGGGATCGTGGATAAAACTTTCGGGTTGACCCGAGACAAATAAAAATATATAAATTATATTAAGAATCTTTCCGTATTAATAGATTTGATAGAGTGGTATGTCGGTCTCTCTAAAGACACCCACACCCAAGATTGTATCCGAATAATTATAAATTTTGAATAAAAAAAACTTTAAAATTAAAATTTAGGTTGGGTTGATTTACCAACCAATCCGAACTTTTGGTTTGGGTCAAAAAAGTCCTTCAACCTAACTCAACCTGTACCATGTACACCCTTAAGGGTGAGCAAATGAGTTCTAAAAATTGAGTTGATCGACCAAAACTAACCTCGATCAAACGATTTAGATCGATACAACATTGATCGGGGATGATTGGTGAGCGAATGTTTTTTTCCAACCCAATCGACAAATATAGATTTATAAAACTCTTCAATCTCTACCTCTTTGTCTCAACTCTCAATCCGTGAATCTCCAATTCTCCCTACCTCATCGTCTCTCGTCTCCTTCTGCCTCCATCTTTTTCATCTTTCGTGCTCTCTTCATTGATATGACGTTGTTTTCTTTCCCTCTTTATCCACCGTCTCCATATTTGATTCTCTCCCTACCTCTACGTTTCCTTCCTTTTGTCACTCACCCATTGTTTGGCTAAACACGTTAGAGTAGAGATCAAAGACGATCATACCCTTGCTCAAAAACCATCATTGAGGAATCAAATAGTGGTTTGTGACTACACAACAAAACTTAACTTTCACCGTTATAACAATCTATAGTATGGTCAAGAAACACATCATTACAATATTCTTTTACAAATATATATATAATTTATACGATACCTAATCCAAAAAAAAAACTTTAAATAAGCATTTGATACCTAACCTGATCAAAGAAAAAACCGTTCAACTGAGCACTTTATATTCGATATCTAACCCGAACGAGGCAAAAAACGCTTCAAATTCTCGCCATCAAAACACATAAAGCTCAGCTAACTCCTCCAAATTTGAATTAAAAGTGAGATTTGGATCAGAGTTTTCCAACATCCACAAGAGATGATCAAAGAGAACAACTTCACATCTCAATGAAATGGCATTATTGTCATTAGTATGAGTATCACAATCTTCATTGGCTTTGGATTTGTGGATCAAAGCACTTAACAAGGGATGTGTCAAGTGGTTTGAAGTTAATGTGTATCTCTTCCTTGTGCTTCCAACATATATAATTACATTGTTGCTACTCACCTTTTGAAGCCTTTCATGTTCTTGATGTTCTTGATGTTGTTCTTGATGTTCTTGATGTTCTTGTTGATGTTCTTGTTGTTGCTCCTCCATTCTTGTTTGAGAAACCCAGAGATGTTCTGTTGTGGATTTGGATTTGGATCTGAAGCTTCCCAATTGCCTTGAAAGGCTCTTGCATTTCCTCAATAGAGAGTTTATCTTCTTCATTCCCCTTTTCTTTTGCTTTCTACACAGAGATTTGGGTAAGAGAGGGAGATTTCATGGGAGACTCTCAAATTCAGTGCTAAGATTAAGCAAAGAGGATGAGAGAGAAGGGGTTGAGTTGATGCCAAGTCTATGTTTTTTTTTGGTATATATATATATGAAGAGAAATTCTCGAGCAGATCTCCGATCTCTGCAAATTTCTCTCATGGAATGTGAGATTTTACATCGGTTGGAGATGTGAACGAAGTATTCTTCACAAGAGTATAGAAACTTTTCCCTGCCAGACGCGTTTTACAATCTTGAGGGAAAACCCAAATATGACAATATTTGTTAGCGGTGAACTTGACTTATTACAAATGATATCAGGGCCAGACATCGGGCAGTGTGCTAGAGAGGACGCTGAGCCTCGAAAAAGGGTGGACGGTTAAATCACACATAGATTGAAGAGGGGAACAAAATATTTTTACAAGGGTGTGGAAATCTCTCTTGATGAGTTTTAAAATCTTGAGGGAAAATTTGGAAGGAAAGCCTAAAAAGGCAAATATATACTAGCTGTGTGCTTGGGCTGTTACATTGAATCTCCGCTCCGATGCCCGCTAATTTTTCTCGTTGTCCTCATCTTGTGAACATCTTTATTTTTTAGTAAAAAATTTGCAGTGGTGGCTCCTCTTTTTTACATCATATTAAAAGGGTGCAACTTTATATGAGTCTCGTACCGTAGAGCAAGTGAAGAAAACGCATAGCACGGGAGATCAAAAAGTACCAAATTTGATGACTTGTTAAGGAAAAGACGAGTATGCTATTGACGGCATTGCAACATATGTCGATAAGGTCTCCATTGATTGTGTACAAACAAAATTCAAACGAAAAACTGAATAATTACGAGCCTTAAATTTTTTTTTCGTAAATCTCACTTTAATCCTTAATATTTTAAAATTTCTAATTTTGACCCTAATGTATTAAAAATCTAAATTAAATAACAAAAATTCTTCAATCATTAAATTATTGTTTTATTAACATATTTGAAATAAGGATATAGTGGTGACTCGTGAAATCTAATTTCATAAGCATAGATTTTGAGAGTTCATACAATTATCGAACCCGAGTCTAAAATAAGTAAACTCACGTACCAAACATAACCCGAGCGAGCGAAAAGCAATACAAATTCAACGCTCAAACCCGTAAACCAAACACCTCTACACTTCTTTTACAAGCAATAATTTTTTTTAAAAAAAAGGATAGATTTGGGAGCAAAGAGAGGCACTCTTGGCTCTTGTGTGCTACCAAAAAGGAAAACATATAGTAATCATTACATTATAAAAACTTTATTTTAAAAAAATTATTGAGAGTACATTTTGTTAGCAAGTGGC